TAGACGATCAGACCTCGGTAATTCGAGACGAATCCGAATACAGAATTCGATAACGTTGCAGAAGACGTGTCCACGTCGAGCGATCGCGACGAGCGTCGTTCGTCCAAGGAGCTGGTTCACGTACAGATCCAATCGGACGAGGTCGAGACTAGCACGACGTGCTCTGACTCGTCGCGTTTGAACCAAGTGATATCATATGAGGAGATTGATCGCGCTCTCGCGACGCATATCAAGCGATACATCAACAGGATACACGGGATGTCCGCGATCCTTCAAGGTACTACCGTGTAAGATACCACCCGTGTCACGTAGCTTCCTCGGCACGCGCGGCGCATCGCTTGACGGTGGTCGATTTGATATTTTTCAGGAGCCGGAGATTACCATGTGCAAATTGTCAAAGAGCACGCGCAGCAGCGGCAAGAGCTGCAGAAGAAGGACCTCGAGATTACAGAGTTGCGGCAGAAAGTGGCGAAGCATACGTTGCGCCGGGGCGAAGGCGACTGTATGATGCAGGAGCAACTGCGACGGAGGATGCTCGAGAAAGAGAGGATCTTAGAGGCTGCGATAGGCGAAAGAGACTCGGAGATCACGCGGCTGCGAGAGTGCCTCGGCACCCTGGAGGAGCGAGTTGCCGCCTACCGCGGGGAGCACGATATTTTGAAGAACGAAAACGCCGATCTTATTGACGCGAGATGCGCGCTCGCGAAGGAGAACGAGGCGCATCGCGAGGAACTGCGAGCACAGGGCGATCAGATGCGCGAACTCACCCGGCAGATAGACGACTTGAAACTGACCGTCGATGCCTTGCGGAAGGAAGTGGACGATATCGAGGATCTGAGGAAGAAGTTGGTAGCTTCGTGAGGAAAGACCAACCCCCCCCCTTGGTCCGAGGATTACGTTGGCCGTGCGTTTGTCGCTCACATAGGGTGTCTGAAAATTCTACGGGAGCGGGGAAGTCATGTACCGTTTTACAAATTTCGCGATAGTTGTTAAGGAATATCGAATCACGTGAGCACTCATTTATTGGGTTAAGTGACGCGATTTTGGCGAAATTCAATTCTAATAAGAATTCGCTATGTAAATGTTCCAAAAGGGACGCGTTGGGGAAGAGGAAATGCGTTGGAAGATTGATTTAAATTTTTCTTACCATGTAAATGGCCCGGAGGAGAATTGTTTGAGATTGATTATGTAAAAATTTACTATGCAAACGTTCCTCGAAAGGAACATCTTACGTTACCTTCATAAACGGGACGCAGGGTTAACATAATCCTTGAGCCAAGGGTTGATCCGGTCTCCCCTCTTATTTAGATATCTCTTATGTGGAGGACTCTTATCCTGAGCGATGTTTGTCGATCGGTGTTCCGTCGGCATTTACAGATTGACGGACCTGCAGACGGGGAACAACGATCTCACGAGCGAGCTCGTGCAGGCTAACGAGACGATTCGCGGGCACGCCGAGGTGATCGCGGACCTGAAGAGCCGGGACGAGAAAAACCGGCTGGCGTTGATGCGCGGTAGTATCAAGTACGACGCAGTGATAACGCAGAAGCTCGACGATATCGCGAGGCTGCAGGACGCGAACCGGTCGCTGCGCAACCAGCTAAACGAGGCCGAGATCAAGCTCGCCCACAGCAACGACACGATATCGCTGCTGAGAAGCGAGAGCGACAGCGTGGCCGCGATAAACGCCCTGCGAACGAGCCTGACGAGCTTGGACGAGGACAAGGAGAAGCTGCTGGTGCGAGCGGACAGCCTCAGGAGCGAAATCGCGAGCTGCGGCCGCTCGACGGCTCGCGTAGCCGGCGAGCTGCGCGCGTTATCGCGCGAAAACGAGACGCTGAGGGCGGACGTGGAGATCGTGAGGAACACCAACGATCAATTGTTACGGGCGCGCGAGAAGGACGATGCGAAACAGCCCTTGAAAGATATGCTGTACACGCTTCCCGGCAGAATTTACCGGAGAATCGTGCGTCTTCAGGAGGACAACGATGAAAAACGCGATGCCGGAGCGGATGGCGCCGTGGAGGCCGCGACACTTCGAACCAGTGAGATCACCTCCGGCACCGACGACGGCTGGAAAGAGCGATCGACGATGGCGCGCGCCGATGAGGTACACGCAAACAAGGTCTCGTTAGGTCCAATTTTCCTCTCTCTCTCTCTCTCTCTCTCTCTGTTTCTATCTATCTATCTCTCTCATTCCCGCTCATCAACGTACGCCCGCACCTTGACTAATGTTCGCAATTTTCTCGCCGGTCTTGTCAACAGCAGGGTGGAGAATTTGACACGAGGCAACGCACGCGTGATGAATTGAATTCGGCGGGTCGCGCGGCGACCGGCAATTCCGAGTGGGCCGCGCATAAGTTGCGACTCATCGAGATACAGCAGGAGGAGAGGCTGCGGGAAATGGAGAAATTGACGAACGACGTGCAACTGAGGGACCTCGAGATTAAGAATCTCCAGGAGTGCGTTACTTTCCTGCTGCGGGAGAAGAACGACCTGCAGAACGAAGTTCAAGTACGCGAGGGCGAGCGAGGGTGGGAGGGGAGGCGGGAGGGCGGACGAGATACGCGCGTTAGATTTTCGTCACGTAAACCATATATCTCATATATGTGTTACTTAATTTCAAACGGCCGACAGCGTCAGTTAGAGGAGTATCAGGGCAAGTTGGCGTTACTGAAGAGAAAATACGACGGCAGTCTGAGCGCGTTTCGCAAGCGGCACAACGAGGTCGTGGAGCGACTGCAGGCGCGATTCGCGGACATTATGAAGATCGAGAGGAGCCCGTTCGACGCGGAGAGTTGGCTGCAGGTGCGCGCAAAAAAGGAAAACCGATAGACAAATAACTTTTTTTGCGACCGATTCGTCACCGGCGGCGCTTCGTTCGTTCTAGTCGCTGAACTTGAAGGAGCTGGCGGAGCTGAATAATCGAATCGATATTCTGAGCTCGCGCGCGAACGGCGGATCGGATATCACACCTGCCGAGGCGACGAGTCGCCACGCTCGTCGGAATAACAATAATCCCGCGGAGCGCAAGCCTCATAACAAATTCACCATGCGCAAGGGACGCGCGAGGGAAAACAGAATGGCGTCTTTGAGCGGAGTGAGCAAGAGGGAATCCGCCGGCAGAGTCTGCGACAGCGAGAGCAAAAGCAAGGTCGTCGTCAAGGAGTTATATTCGCGCAGCTCCAGGTGCAAGCGGGAACGGTACGGGAATTCGCGAGACCTCGCGTGCGTTACGCATTTATCCATCGGATATCTGCGACGAGCGTATCCGAGCATCGATGAGTTTCATATTACGATATTCTAATCGCACGTTCCCCGCGATACTGCTCAGATTCCTCGATGACGGAGAGAAGAAGCTGCAACCCGGCCAGACGGAGCCGTCCGAATCCAAGGCGGACAAAACCGTGAGTACACGGCCGATAATGAATGATTTTGCAATAATATTCAAGCGCAAACGTGACGAGATGTAACCTTTCAGTTGGATTGGCAGAGAGTGGAGTTCATCTATCGATGTAGCGTAGGCTACGTTGAGCCGTTGAGCAACGGCCGCTGATATCCGAGTGCGTCGACGCGATGTGTAATGCAGAGGGATTTTAAATGCGCGAGGATAGAAACGAAATATTTTATCAACTTCACGGAATTATCTTGTTACGCTTAGATCGCTCGCTCGCTCGCTCGTTCGCTCGCGCACGCTAACGTAAGATCGGCGAGAAGTGTATATTTTATGAGAGCCGCCTTTCTCCCTCCGCCAGGAGGGGAAACGTGGGCGGAAACTTATTACTTTTTACATGCCCTTTTCTTCGAATGTATACGCGTGGAGGAACTTTTTGACATTTTATCGGCGTGCTGTTATTGTTTGTCTAACTGACGTTATACTCTTCTACATAATGGGAGCGTGTATTTAAAACGAAGTTTGTAATAAACTTACATCGCGCAACACGAAACGGGCTGCTTCACCTTCACGCGCGAGTAACTCCCGAAAAACACGAGCGAACGGACAAACGTCTCACGGAGGCGTCCCTCGACCCTTTGTGCTCTCGCGAACTAACGAGAACAATGCGTCCGACGCGCCTCACGCGTGCGACACACAGCCCACGGTGGCAATAATACCCGCTCTGTGACGCGAAATTCACAATTTTGATCGTCCCCGCAACAATTTCGCGCCGAAAAAGAAATGATCCAGGCCGCGGAAAACGCACGAGCCGATGGCGTTTCGCCGTGGTGATGCAAGAGCGGCAAGTATTGCGACTGCAAAGAGACGATTGTTTGTTATCATTGCACGCAGATTCGCAACGACGACGATGATGGCGGTGCCTCTACTCGCGTCAGCATCGCGCCAGGCCGCGGAGATGGTAAAACCGACTATCCACACCCGTCCTTGCTCTACTTATTGCGAGATTTAACACGGCTGTGTTCTCTCTCTATCTCTCACTTTCTCTCTATTTATCTATTGGCCATTTCCTTACATTTAAACCAGGCCTATAGAATCATTTGTTGCAAAAGTTTATGACCACTTGGTTTAAAAGAAGTTGGACAACGTCAGAAACCAATCACTATGGCCACTCCCTATGGAACTCGTCCACATAGAAAAACACGTTTCGAGGGTTGTCGAAGGTTGGACGACGCGTAAGGGGAGAGGAATGAGATACTTAAATAATGTTATGTAATGCGAAATTTAATGAAGTTTTTTGTAAACTGATTCCCTCCAATATTTGAGAAAAAACAGTCGCTTTCCTCTCTCTCTCTCTCTCTCTCGCTTGTTCGCTCGCTCGTTCTCTTGTTCTGCGTGTTACGTATACATAATTACGTCGCTTTGCACGCGCGATTATTTTTCCCTGTGTACGCGCCGTACGCCGGGAGCCGGCGAAACGGGGGTGAGTTCGCGAGGTATGCGAGCTTGCGCACTCGCGGTGCCATCCGGCGCAGCCTCCAGGATCCTGCAAAGGGATCGTGTACGCGCGTGTCGCCGCATAGGCGGAGAGCAGGGTGAGCTTGTCGGTGGGTAGGTCGGTCGGTCGGTCGGTCGGTCGTTCGGTCGGTCGGTCGGTCGGTCGTCCTCGCGCGTCAGGCACGTCGCGACCCCCAACACAGTAGCATCGTCGCACCCGTCCCGACTATGAGAAGAGCGTCGGGTACCGCCGCCGGCTGTCACCACCACCACCACGGGACGTCGTCTCCGTCGACGTCGTCGTGGTCGTCGTCGTGGTCGTCGTCGTGGTCGTCGGCGTATTGTTCATCCGTATCTTCGGCCCGGAAATAAAAGCCGGCAGAGCTGGAAGATAAGATAAGAGCCGACACTTCCTGGAGGAAGCCGCGGGCGTCGCCGCCGTCATCCGTCACCGAAGACTCGTCACGAGGACCGCCGTGGGAGATATAAAAAAAAAAAGAAAAGAAAGAGAGAGAAAGAGAAAACGGCGAGCGCGTCAGGAGCCTTTTCTTCGCACGGTGGATCTCGCGGCGGAAGATCATTTCGACGGATAAATAGGGAAGAAGAGAAATCACCCCGATATCGCTAAAAAGACAAATAGATCGGGTGGGATAGAGCAGAGAGTGTAAGAGAGAGAGAGAGGGAGGGAGAGAGAGAAGGCATGCGGTCTTGAGAGCACGTACAAACAGGTGGCGAGGCGGGATCCTCCGTCGGAGACCTCGGTTCTACCGAAAGAGAGGGCGGATACGCACACCACGAGGGGTGAAAAAGAGAGAGGCACACGCGCGCGCGACGAAGTACCGCGCGCACACGAGAGTAACAGGTACTGTGACACAAAGATACGCTACCCTTCTGAATTTTCTCGCGCCCATTCCCTCCGTCTCTTACGTTTCTACTTTTCTTCTTCTACTTCCACTCCTTTGACTGGTGCTTTATCGTCGAGGAGGGAAACTTCAGAAGTTGCTGACGACTGAGGGGGAGAGTGATAACACAGAGCACAGAACCCCTCTTCCGCGTTTGGCGAACTCGCCTCCCAAGTGTCACTTTCGCACTTTTCCCATTTTTTCCGTCTACCTCTCTCTCTCTCTCTCTCTCTCTCTTTCTCTCTCTTTGTCTCTCAAGTCACCCCCTGGAATTTTTTGACCTTTCTGCTCGCTGCGTCCCGGGATAGGTCGATGATCCTTTCGTGGACTTATCGATAGGAAAAGCCGCGAACCGCGCGTTAACGCGAATACGTAGGGGTGAAAGGGCGCTTAAATTATTCAGACGCACGAGTCGTATTCTCTCCCTCATCGGTATCTCCCGTGTTAGCTTCGAGGTCTGATGGAAGGAGGTCGCATTTTCCACGTAATTTCGAACGGACGCAATAACAACAGGAGCTCCCGATAATTGAAACCGCGATACGGGGTGATAAATCGGGAAAGCGGTGTAATTAATTGTGAAATTGGAAAATATGCGGGTATTTTTAAAGCGTGTATGTCTGGCGTGCAATCGCTGCAAGTTCTATCCATATCGCTGGACATATCTGAAAACCTTCGAAGTAACAGACGGCTCTCTCTCTCTCTCTCTCTCTCTCTCTCTCTCTCTCTCTCTCTCTATCTATCTCTCTCTCGGGCTTGAAATAAAAAGTTATTGTATCGCAGCGCAAATATTTCCACTCGTAAACAGGTTCTTTGAAAGTCTTTTTATTGGATCGTTTTTACAGCATGAACGTGACTCATAAACCATGAAGCACCAATTAATCCCGATCGATTGTCTCGAACTACTGAACTATCAAATGCCGCATTCATATTAAAAAAAAAACAAGCTACCAAGATATCACAGAACAATAATACCGTCGTTGCGTGTTTGAGTACGTTTACGGTTTTTTATTTATCTCGCGTTGCGCACGGACAGAGGAGGTGTGCGATAGAAGTTAGCTTTTTCCATGATTTATACGATACTACGGGATCGAAAAATCCGGACGCACTCTCTTCGGCATAACGACATACCTCCGTATCGGATACCTCGAGGACCAATACGCGTCGCGTATACACGAGGTACGTCGAGGACCGCGCTTCGAGAGAGAGAGAGAGAGAAAGGGATATAGAGCTGGAGAGCCTAACCATAACGGTTAGGCAGCTATCAGTAGTAGTCGCAGCGTCCCGGCTAAAATTATTACCCGATAGAATATCGATTTTCATCGCAAAACAGTTTAAGACCTTATTTCCGCGGGCCTCGCGCGGTGCCATCGCTTCATTTCCCGCTTTCAGCGGCCGCGCGTTCGTCCACCGTCTTCGGCTCTGAAGAGGGATGCGTCGGCTCGCGGAAGCAACGAATGTCGAAAATACCGAACGAAACGATCGAATCACGAACGGTACGAGACGGCCGTGGAACGGAATCCCGGGGGGGCGAAAGGCTAAAGGCGGCGGCGGATAGCAGGAATTCGAATTAACGTGAGCGTAACCAGAAAATCAACTTTGATTCCGCGCGTTCGATCCAATTGCCGTGAAACGACGTTATCGCGCCGATGCGTTTAGCATATTTATACCCATCGCCCCGGAACATCGTGCCCGTTGCCCAGTTGCCCGTGTTGTTAATGGTTCACGTAGAATTGGCTCGGTAACGATATTTACCCCCATCACGGGGAGATCCAATGATCTCGCTTTGCGACTCGCGTGATTTATATAAATTGACGGTAATGATGCAGGTGCGCGGCTTACCCCGCGACACGGCAGTAACATTCCGCTGCGAGGCCTGGATCGGATATCGATATATTTCAACGCCGATAAATATATTATCATACGCTAATACTCCATTTCGCCAAATTACACCACCGACCGCTCCCCGATCTCGGCGCCGTAAGTGGACGGACGGGCGCAATTTGTCGCGTCGTGAAATTAACCATTTTCAGGAGGGTCCGTGTGTGTATTTCCCGTTACGGCACACCTCGTCCCCGTTTATTCGCCAAACACGGATTCACATCGCCGCTTTGCCGCGTTTGCGAGCGAGCCGGGCGAGCCCCCCCTTATTTCTGCATATTTATCGAAGGGTTTTCCCTTCGCGTTTACAGATGCGACGGCACCTGCAGCGTATCCCGACGAATCATCATCCGCCTGCTGATCTCGTCGACCGAGATCGAAAGACGTCCGTGACGCTCGACCGTCCGGTGTTATCCTCGGCCGTACCGTTAGAACTTAAACAAAGCAATCTGGACAATCAATCACCGCTGTGAAGAACAAGACGTGGGGGGAGGCGTCCATCTGGCAACGACCTGTGATCATGCTCAGTCCCAAGATGCAAAGAACCGGTGAGACATGCATATGCGCGGGTGTGTGGGTGCGCAAATACCCATGTATATTTTTATCGTCATATTTTCCGATCGGCGAAATAAAACGCGCGATCTCAATGAACGCGGGCGCGTGCTCTCACAATGGGATCGTAAAAGTTCCGCGATAATTCCTTTATTCCAATCCGATTACGCCGCGTTACAAATCGCCGTAACAAAGGCCGATATAGTTTGACATTAACTCGTCGTGTATTATTTCATATAAACGTTAATACGTATATAAACGTTACGCTCGCTGCGCCCGTTATTCCCATGAATGCGTCAGCCCCGGACGCCGCCGAATGCGGAATATCGCGGGACGGAACGGAGGTTTGCACAAATATACGCATTTTTTTTCAAGTTTATCGAACTCTTCGTGGATTACACGCGCCGAGTGTTAATCAACATCTGATTAATCAATGCGTCCCGATCGGCGAACGAATGCGAAACGCAGTTGATTATCGCGAACGTACGTGCGCGCTTACCGCACGCGTGCCGTATCCGCCGTGTAAAATCGCCGACGTGGAAACCCGACGTCGCTTTTCGACGTTGCTCCTGTTTCGAACAATAGTGCGTTATCACGAATCAATATTAAAAGTACGCGTCAAAAGTTCGATGCCGTCGGCGTCGTCCTCGTCGTCCTCATCGTCGTGGCTGCCGTCGCGCTCGGAATTACGACATTTATGAGGCAAAGTTTGCCCTCCCTCATTAATGTTCCGCGCACCCTCGCGCGTTTTACACGTACGATCCATTGTCCGCTGGAAAATTCTCAGCGAAACGTCGAGGCCGGATTTTTCATTCGCGCCGTTGTATAAAATATAAATATATAATCGCGCGACTCTCGCGTATTCCGCGCCACGACGCGGCCGCGTGGCCAACGCGGATTTTCGACCGCGGTCGTTCGTTCTCGGCCGGGATCTTGAATGTCGCGTTCAAGTTAACGCGCTTCAGAATTACCGAGCTCGCGGTTTCTCGCGATTTACGTCACGCCGCAGGTCGCTCGCTCGGTCGCACGTGCGCTCGCGTTGGACTCGCGCATCCGCGTGGAAGCCGGCGGTTAAACGCAAATTGCATTCACCCTGAGAATCGCGTTGTCGTCGCCACCTGAGAACGGGATCTCGGTAATGAAGACGCGGTAGCGCCCGCTGCAATATTAGCTCTGGCAAATCAGACGGTCGATCGGTAATTTTTCCCCCGATTCATCCGTGTACGCGGGGAATCCGACCGCGGAAAATCGCGGCACGCGCTCCGTCCCGAAATTTCATTAAATCCCTCTCTCTCAATCTATCTATCTGTCCGGCCCTCTCGCTCGCTCTCATTGTCGTTCGCTTGAACGGCACGACGCCCGCTTTTAATTGCGTGGGAGCATTGTAATTTGCTCGACGTTGATTCGCCGTGCGAGCGAGCGGAGAGGCGCGGACGAACGCGCGGACTTTGAACGTAAACGCGCTTATCACCGGCGGATTATTAATATTCCTATGTGTTCGCCGTGGTAAACAAGAACCGGCGGTATTTTGAGCACTATTATTGGAACGGTAGCGCGGCGAGAGACAGGTGAACGTGTAATTGCGACGCGGCGCATTGTGTGTTGAACGATAACGCGGCGGATGTATATATATATATATATATCTCGCGTGTAATGCCACGCGATTTGGGCCCGTTTTTACGCGCGGCTGAATCACACGCAGGCGTGACCGCGCTATTCGCGCGCGATTATGGCGTGGTTTTGAAAACACGCGCGCGAAACGCGTTCGCTCGCGAGTCCCCCCGCAGAGAGCCGCGTGACCCGGCGAATTCCGGGGCCTCCGGAATATTTTCCAGACGGGGAAATCCGGGTGGACGAATTTGCGGGAGAAAAAGAATGTCGCCCCAGCGCGCGTGTTTTTCATCCGCGGATTCGTTCCTCGCGCGTCGGCGCCCGCCGTTCCGGGCGGCTCGATTTTAATAGCTTCTATTCATGAGCGTTTACGGTGTGTTGCAGTGAGGGTAAATGACGCTCAGCTAGTTATGCTGTCGGAGAGAGCCCATTACGATCATTCGCTGACGGGATATTTGCACAAGCGAGCGGCCGACTCCACTAAGTGGCAATTACGATGGTTCGTTCTCTATCAGGTCAGTGAATTGTTTGCCGTGTCGCCGACAATCGCCCCCC